CGGCAACGTGCTGGAGCTGAGGAAGGACCCACATCTGGTCCTGACCAGGTTGAGCCAGAAGTACGGGGACGTGATGGAGGTGAGGATCGGCACGCGGCCCGTGCTGGTGCTGAGCGGGCTGGAGACCATCCGGCAAGCGTTGGTGAAGCAAGGAGAAGACTTCATGGGGCGCCCTGACCTCTACACCTTCCGTAATGTTGCGGATGGGCAGAGCCTGGCCTTCAGCCCTGACTCAGGGGAGGTGTGGAAAGCCCGCAGAAAGCTGGCCCAGAATGCCCTGAAGACCTTCTCCATTGCCCCCAGCCCCACCTCCTCTTCCACCTGCCTCCTGGAGGAGCACGTCTCCAAGGAGGCCAACTACCTGGTCACCAAATTCCTGCAGCTGATGAATGAGGAGAAGAGCTTTGACCCTTACCGGTACGTGGTGGTCTCTGTGGCCAACGTCATCTGTGCCATGTGCTTCGGCAAGCGCTACGACCACAACGACCAAGAGCTGCTTAATATAGTGAACGTAAGCGAGCAGTTTGGTGACGCGGCTGCTGCTGGCAACCCCGCTGACTTCATCCCGGTGCTCCAGTATCTTCCCAGCCGCACCATGAGTTTATTTAAAGATTTCAACAAGCGGTTCCTCCATTTCCTGCAGAAGATTGTCAAAGAGCACTACGAGACCTATGACAAGGTAAGAGCTTGCAGGACCCTTACCTGCACCAGAGATGTGTTCCTGCTCTGTGTCCCTCTCTGTGAGTGAGTTGTTTTTCTTCTTGCAGCCAAGTGTCCATGGACATCTATGTTCTTGCAGGTAGGACTGTATTTCCAGCTGTAGCGTCACTCATCCGTAATCTCTTCGTGCATCCCAGTACTGAAGTCCTTCTTCTCCATGGTCCTGTGTGATAGGGGGAGTTTGTTTGACCTGTCAGCAGAGCCACGTGCTGCTGGTTCCCTGGAGAACCATCTCCTTGTTTTCATAGGTTGTAAAAGCAGTAGGGACCATGGAGGACGAAAGATGAGGTTCTCCAGAGCTCGATTGACCCGAGACTCCCCCAACAGCAAATTTTTGCTCAGTAACACTCGTTCCTCTGCCGGTTCTGCTGCCATGCCTTGTTTTCTCTTCCTCTCAGAACAACATCCGAGACATCACTGACTCCCTCATCGAGCAGTGCATGGAGAAAAAAGTGGAAGCAAATGGCGCCACGCAGATCCCTAAGGGGAAGATCGTCAACCTTGTGAATGACCTCTTCGGAGCAGGTATCTTCTCCCACCGGTCTCTCAGCTGCTGCAGATTTTCTCAGGTTCCTGGTGTTAGTGCTCTGCCTGACCCATCTTTGTCCAGCACCAGGCAGTCAGTTTGGGTCTAAGCACTCGCTCTCCTGCTCGTTGATCTTCCTGGACCTTCCAAGGTCCCTAGAGATCAGCATGGGACATTAGCACTGGAAAGAGGCTTCAAGGAAAAGCAAAGGGTACAGCTTATAGCTCAGTCAAGCTTCACAAGCCAGGGTGGCTTTTCCTGGTTGAGGGAGATGTCTATTGACTGATTCACCTTTGAGTTACTCTGGAAACTCCCCCAGTTCCAAAGAAATTATACAAACCTGACATAACCCAAGGGTGAATCAGGATGAACGAGGGCAGAATATTTTAGCAACGGGACAGAAACCCCAGTCTTACCGTGTGCCTAGCATGTCCTCTGCCTTCTTAGCCGTCCGAGACCACTCCACGTGATGGTTAGGCAGCGAGCCGAGACATGTGCCCTGCGTGTTGTGCAGACCTCATCTACGTACTTTCTGCTTTGACCAGGCTTTGACACCGTGACAACTGGCCTGTCCTGGAGCCTCATGTATCTCGTGACGTACCCCCACATCCAGAAGAAGATCCAGGAAGAACTGGGTGAGTCCCTGATCCTGCTTCCGTCAGGGCCAAAACCTCTCCGCTGAGGGCTGACCCCAACCCGCTCTCGCCTCTCGACCTCCCGCAGACCAGACCATCGGCCGGGAGAGGAGACCGAGGCTGTCGGACCGGGGCACGCTGCCCTACATAGAAGCCTTTATCCTGGAGATGTTCAGGCACTCCTCCTTCATGCCCTTCACCGTCCCACACAGGCAAGTGCTGAGGTTGGGAAGGAAGTGGAGGGACAAGGTGGACTTGAGGCATCTTGCTACAGCTAACCCCGCGGCGGTGTGGTGAGAGGCAGGGAGGTTATGGTTGACTTGTGGAATGATCATCGTGGACACGGGGAGCTCACAGCTCTTGTGCAGGGCAATGTGGGAGCTCCCAAAGAGCAACCCTTGCCTTCTGCTGACTTCGCCTGAAGTTACTCCACCCAGCTCAGGTAGGGCTCGCCCAGTCCAGCTCATGGACAATGCAACAGCCCCTCGTAGAGCCATCTCTTTGGGCCGCATCCTTACTTCAGCAGCAGTAGGAGCAAACTAATAGTCCCCTGAGGAGGCAGAAGAACCTTTTTGCTTCCCAAACTCTCAGAGTCTTTTCCCTCTCCAGCACGACCAGGGACACGGTGCTGAACGGCTACTACATCCCAAAGGACCGCTGCGTGTTTGTCAACCAGTGGCAAGTGAATCATGACGAGTAAGTACCTTCTCGGGCAGAAAGCCTCCTGCAGCAACACGCAGGCCCCTTCCTGGACAGTTATCTTCCTGGGCAGAAGTGGGGTCAACCCACTTTAGGTGAAAAGGGAGCAGGTGAGGTATCCACTAAATTCAGGGATGCTCTTACTGACAGCTTCCACCTTCCAATGTCTCCCCTAGACCCGTGTCCAGGAGACATTATCTCAGCATCTGGTATTTTCCCTTCCAGGAGACTTTGGAAGGATCCACATAGCTTCAACCCGGAGCGTTTCCTCAATGCTGAAGGGACTGAAGTGAACAAAGAGGATGGGGAGAAGGTGCTGGTTTTCGGCTTGGGGAAAAGGAGGTGCATTGGGGAACCCATTGCCAGGTGGCAGGTCTTCCTTTTCCTGTCCACCTTGCTCCAGCAGCTGGAGTTCAGCATCTGCGATGGCAAGAAGGCGGACATAACACCGCTGTATGGCCTGGCCCTGAAGCACAAAAGATGTGAGCACTTCCAGGTCAAGCAGCGCTTCCCCATGAAGAGCATGGACTGAGCAGTGGGCTTACCCATTGCCCAGACATCGCCAGGAGGCAAAGACCTGAGTTTCCTTGTAGCAAAGCTCAGTCTAGTACAACTTTATGGAATGATACAATAAACAGAAGGCATCGAAACTCCTGTCTTATCTTGTTCACGTTGTGGCATTCCTTGCCTTTCTCATTTTCCGGCATTTCTAGTGTTGGATATTCCATCAAGTGTTGGATATTCCATCACATCTCGTCTCAGTACCCCAAAGCCCGTTTATGGGGTGTGCGAACTGTCTTTTGGTAGAGGGAAAGGGAATGTACCCAAAACCAGACCATCTGAACACCATCGGGCTGTGTTCTTCTAGAATCACTCGATAGCTGAAGGACGGCCAACCCATGCCATAACCCCACGGTCTCCCTCGATGTCTGAGATCTTGGCTGAACGGATGCCCAAAGCTTGGGTGGAGATGAGGATGATGTTATCGAGGTCCAACCAGTATCACTGTTTCTGGACCACTCGAGGGACAGATTTTCACTGGTTGAAATTTACCTTCACTTGTAGATGTGTCTGCAGGGAAAAAAAGTCTTGGAAACCTTGGAAAAACACTAATACTTCTCCAAGCCCTCTAAGGACGGCCTGTTCCCTCGTTTCTATGCTGTGTTTTTAATTGCCTAGCTGACTTGTCATGTCACTCTAAGATCCCACACAGGAGAGGTTTATCTTTGGCCATGGAGAAGCTCAGAGCACTCTGGTGCCTCTTTGAGAATCTATCAGACAACCTGGCACCAGGGGTTCTCCTGCTGCTCGGATTGCTTTCATCAGAAAAATGAGAGGGATCCTTCAAATTAACTGAGCTGGAGGAAAGCCCCTCTGGACCAGCGTGTTGGAGGACTTCAGCCACCGTAAGCCTTGCTCACCATAGTTGCTGCTGGCCCTGAAGGACACAAGGAAGGACGCTTTTGCCCCTTGTTATTGAGAAAGTGAGGCTGCTGGTATTCTGGGCTGGAGCAAGGGTGTTTTCACCACGGGGCAGAGAAGGAGAACAGGACTTTCTCCAACTCAAACCCAAGAGTTTACACTGGCTGCCAGTCAACCCATGCCGGCAGAGCCAGGTGCCTCCTTTTCTTCAACTTGCACGCAAAGACATCTTAGCCAGCCCAGCAGCTGGCAAGCAGCAACACAGGAACAAGTATAACCATCCGGTGCAACACACACCGTTCTTGAATCTGTTCCCACGGGTGGCATCTGCTCAGCCATAGCCCCAGACCCTGACCAATGAGAGCTCCTTTAGCTTCCAAATACCAATCACTCGTCATGCGTTGCACAAAAACTTCCAAGAAGAGGCAGAAACAAAAGAGTGTGTTGGGGAAGAAAATGGGGAAGCCGATTGCTCAAGACCTCAGGGAGATTCCAGCAAGAGCAGGGAGGTGTTCAGACCCGCTAAGCAAGCCTGAATGAAAAGGAGTAACTCTTCGTCTCTGTATGTCCAGGTCCTGCCTGGTCACCAATTTGTGGTGAAACATTGAGACAGTACAGCCTCAGAGCCACCTGAATTCATTCAACCAGCCCAAGCGGCTCCGTGTCACGCCGGTCTTGTCTTCACCACTTAATGTCATAATCAGAATATTGCAAGAAAGGCAAGGGTGAGGACCGGGAGATCCAAGCTGTGGTTTGAGCTGCAACCTCTCAGAGGCCTCGGAGGAAAAGTGGAAGGGTGGTTTAAGGCAACCCATGGTGTCCATCAGCCAAATAACATCTCCCCCACCTATGACAAGGGCCACAGGTCAAGGCAATAGAGTCCTGAACCACCTTTCCACAAGGGACAACCCAAAGCCGGCATTCAGGGGAAGGTGGGATCATCCTGGACGTGGGTGTGGATCTCTCAGCACCTAACTCAGTGATTCAGAAGAGCACCAGGACCGCCTGGGACTCAGCAGCAGTGTCTCACGCCATCCCCATGGGCTGGAGAAGCTCTCATGGACTTGGCCCCGTGACTCCAGCCGCAGTGGGAACACGCAATGCTGATGCTGGTGCAGGACCAGAGGCCCCGTTTGCCAGAGCCGTTGCGTGACTCTCTTGCCCAGAAGGCTGGATGAGTTTGCTGATAAGGCCCGCAATAAGCAAAGGCAGATATAAAGAGCGAACAGTGGGAAACTTTTTTTCCCCTTTGGAGATGAGTGTTTTACAGCCCCGGGGCAGATAAGCAGATTAATATTAACGTTACTGAGGTGAAACAGCCCCTCGCTGGTGGAAGGTCTCCCCAAGATACGTTTATCAAGGGCTGATTGCCTCCCCCGGGGACACTGCTGCTGGTCTGCAGCGGGCAGAGCCCGGGCACTGGAGACCAAAGGCCTAGGAGAAAAAGTCATCCCAGTGTCAGGATGGAGAAGGGGAAGGGAAGAGGCTTGAGGGGAGAGAAACAGGCAAAATGGGTATCCTTCCCGACACAGCCCTTCTCTTCGTGGTGTCGGAGGCGAAACACCCCACTTTATAAAGCCCCGTCTTCATTTGGCATCTCTCCCTCCCCTTGATGCCAGCGGAGACATCCCACGCAGCTGAGGGACACCTTTCCAGGCAGCTTGCACAGGCAGGAGGACCCCCTGAGACCTTGGTCTGATGTCCCCACGTGCACACATCTCCTTGGACACCCTGGCCCAGTGGGTGACCCCACCTGAGGTCCCATTTTTCTTTGTGGGGATGCTGTAATCAAACCGTCCCTTCAGCCCAGCCACCCCCATCCCAAACTCAGGCATCCTGCCTGCCCCTGGACAACACGCTTGGACCATCGAAGCTGAGAGGGCTCCTTCAGATGTTTGCTCCACCGGGGGGGGTCTTGGCAGCCCCCGGCGTGCAAGGAGGACAGCAGCAAGCACGGCCCGAGCATCAAACGAGGTACCCCAGCTCTGCACTGCTCTTTGCTCCGCAGCGGAGCCATACCCCGAAATTCCCCCCACCCTTTGAGGGGACCCTCTGCGAGGAAGGGACGGGGGCACCCTGCTCTCTTTGGGGGTGCAGGGTCAAAGTGCTTCACCTCCTCCTCTCTCCTCTTGCCTCCTGATAAACAAATCCGTCCATCATTGCCACGAAAGCCCCGGTTCCTCACAGTAGGTAAGGGACTCGGCTCCCCTATCTTTGTCTTTCCCCTAACGATCTTCCTCAATTAAACCCTCCAATCACTTCCCAAGTAGCTTGCAAAGTGCCGTGATTTCGTTACTGGAACCGGGGTGGGGGGGGGACAGTGATAAGCCAGGGAGCTTTTATCACCCCACGGCCAATCGCTTTTATTGCTGGTTTTAAAATGAGTCAGCAGCCCAGCCAGGGCACCTGGGCTCCAGCTCCTCTTCCAAAGGGGAGAACATTCCTGCAGGGAAAGGTCCGGGCAGCCATACGCCTTCTCCTTCCAGCTGCGACACCTGCCCGGGGTCAGCCTTCGGGGTGGTGGCATCTCCTCGCCAGCCCTGAGATGGGTTAGAGGAACCACCACTTGTAGCTCTTCCTCCCGGATGGAAGGAAGAGGGGAGTTGCTCCAGCGCTTAATGACCCTCCTCATTAAAAGCACATCCTGTATTTCTAACTTCTTTCCTTCGGCTGTTTGTTTATTCTCCCCATGAGATCTGTTATCAGGAACCATCTCCCCCCGAGGTTTAACTCTTGGGTGTCTTGCTTTCGCTGCTTGTCCCCAACACCGGTGGGACATCAAAAATATCATTCCTTGATGCCCTAGAGCTTAAAATTAAGTTCTGAACTGTACCTTAAACTTTATTTCTGAGACACGTGTGCTTTCTTTCTACCAGTGGTTTTGGGGACACCTCCCTCTGAGCTGGTGGCAGCTGATCCTCTAAGCGTGGTGGGCTTTGCCCCGGTGTCCTGCTTGCCACGCTGCACCATCAGGCCCTGGCAGCTCCTTCCTATGGAGAAGGAAACCCCTAAACAACATATTTCTTTTTGTGGCTTCATTCCTGGGACAGAGTCGGGCTCTTCCATGCCTTGAACCCCAGGAGAAGTTGCTTCACAGTGGGCATAATGTCTGGTTTCTGCCTTTTGGGGGAGAAAATCTCTGCTCGGTCCCCAAGACTGAGCATCTTCTGTGGTGCCGGAGCTGGTGGGACCTTCCTCTAGTGAAGTTTCCTTCTGCGGTGGGTTGGAGAAGATGCCGGTCCGGCATGGAGGAGAGCTTAAGCCAACAGAGCCGAACACGGTCAACCTGGTCCGTGGCTCTGCTCCGAGGGCTCCCAAATGAGTACGAACCCTTCTTCCTCCTCCCACCCCTCACCTCCCTCTTCCCTCTGGAAAGGAGACAGTGTTTGGGCTGATCGATTGCCCCGTGTCGTCGTCAGAGGTACAAGGTACCTGTTAATCAGAGAACATGAAAGCGGGTAAGGATGGAGTTTGGCCCCAGGGGTTAAGAAGGGAACAACGGAGATGCAGAGATAACCACTCCCGACACGCAAAGCGCCACCAGAGAAAAGCTCCAGGATCCCAGGAACGGCCTCAAACCCGGCTGTCCCCCCACCCTGGGATGATTTTCCCTAGGGGGAAGGAAAAGAGGGAAGAGGTGAGGAGCCGCTCCGGAGAGACATCCCCACGGAGCTTGGGGGCCACCAGGTCCCGCCAGCGCTGGCAGCGAGAGCCAAAAACGTGTGGGATTTTGGGTGCTCCTCAAACCCAACCTCAAGCAGTGGGATACGGGGCTGGATGGCCGGGATGCATCCAGGACTGGCCTGTATGTCCCCAAAGCCGAGTCTGCCGGTGGCAGGGTAGCACCAGCTCCAGCAGAGCAAGGGTAGATGTGGGAGGGGGGGTCACACAGAGGGATGGGCTCTCATCTCCCTGTATAGACACCCCCCACACACACTAATTGGCATCATAATGAGGACTCCCAGTTGAGCGCCCCGCTCTCCTGCCCCTAAAATCAACTCCCCCAACCCCATCAGAGTAGGTGGAGAAGGGCTGGGGAGGG